GGGTTTCTGCTGAAAACGGTAATATGCGGTTTCTTTTTCTTTTTTTTCGAGGCAAGTAGAGACTCTGCCTCAGCCACGACAGTCGCTAAATCAAGCTGTTTTTTTTTTTTAATTTTTCTCGCGTTGGAAATTGCCTAAGCGTTCAGCCATTTAGAACGCAAGCGCTTGTAAAAGTAAAGACTAAGAAATATGCGAGACAGCCACCATTTTGTTTTACACAACAAGCGCGAGAAATGGGACCTGGGTATGACGTACAGGAATGAACCGGAGAATGACCACAACCATCATTTTCGGACGTGTGGGAGGATGTGTTGACTATTCCAATACGTAAGACAAGTAAAAGACGAACTTCGGTGAAACGTTTAATATTGTAACAGATCCCGGAAGTTTTAGACGCGGACGTTTCGTTACCTAATAAAAAATGTAATTCTCACCTGCTAATTAATTCTCCCGTAGGTGAACATCCACCCAATTTTTCTTTGGGGTCCTCTAAAAGGAATAATTATCGTAGGCAGACACTGACAGCTCTACTGAGAGACGCTTATTCCGATTCTCGAGGGTGTCCGCTCATGAGAGAGTTGATGGCATGTTGCTTTATCTTATTTACAGGTTCATGAAAGGAAACAGGGTAAGTAGAAATATAGTTTATCGTCTTTTTTTCGAAGCAACGTTGCGTCGTATATTTATTTCTGAAGTCTCAAGATAATCAATGCGTTAGTACATGTGCTTCGGAAGGAAGAACAACAGTCTTTTTAATTTTGAAAAGTGAAGGTCCACTAGAATTTTATTTGTTTCCAACTTGTGCCCTCGTAGTTCGGTTGGTAATAGCGCCTGGCCAGCGTCTAGGAAGGATTGGTTCAAGCCTCGTGAACGCTTAAATTTCTTCTTCCTTCTGCAACTTATTCAGTTTAATTTTACTTGCGAGCAACATTTCGTCATTATACCTGATAAAATTCATTCCCTGGCATCAAAAGAAAGGAGACTAAATTTCGACTAAATTTTGATACAGCGAAAGAAGCCCAGCTGAGGCGTTGGTCTCATCTTCGTTTTAGTTTTTAAATCATTTTACTCTGTTTGTTCCTCATTCGTATCCATAAATCGTCCTTTTTATCGCAGTCATTATTTTTTAACTTACCTCATGAACCAGTCCCACTAGGATTTGGATGGTACACTACATCAGCAAAAAAAATTTATGACTCAGTTTTTTGACAATCACNCATGGCGTTTTCGCCACCTGAATATTGTAGGTTGTTTGCTCTAAAGAAGGCCTACCAAGGGGGGGGGGGGGGATCACAGAGGCTACTCACTACTTAGACCGCTGCTCTCCAGCGTGTATCGGCGAGCTCAGTCGTATTATCGTGGCATGAAGGCCAATATTAACTAAATACAAGAGCCGTTGACGAAAATACTTTACAAAAAAAACAAATTTTAAAAAAGTGGGCTTTCAACAACTGAATATTGTAAGTTGTTTGTTCTAAAGAAGGCCTACCAAGGGGGGGGGTCACGGGCACCCCAGGACCCCCCTGGCTACGCCCTTGGCATTACGGTTACTTTTAAAAATTACCCTTCTATTCACATATTGTTTCAGTCTGACAGTCTCTTTGTTTAGGTATTAATCATAAATATATCAGGTCCAGCAATGCATTCCTTTCTTGGAGGTGCTCTCTTCCTCTGGAAGCTGGTAGAGTTTTACAACACTTTGAACTGCAGGACGGTTCAACAACTCAACATCCGAGAGCATAGATTAGTGACCGAGTTTGGCTGCGTTTTCGTGCTGGTACCAGAATGTATCATGCCTGTCATTTGATGATGATAAATTACGATGAGCGTTTAATTATCGGTTTTCAATTTAGTTTGCCATTAGATTACATCAAAATCTTTCGGATGAAGGTACTTCTCAACATAAATTACTAAAATTTTTCAAGATCCTGTAGGTAGTCATCAAACCTTTCCTGTTTATTCAGGGGACAATTCAGTCCTAATTAACCTCTTATGATAGTCGGAGTGGCTCGCATTTCCAATAGTTTTTAAGGTCTTTTGAATGCCTTCAAACTAAACTTTAATGCTGTGACATACCATTCTAAACTAAGTTCACTTTTGTTTGATAATTTTTCCACGAGAGCTGTCGTAACGTAACTGCTTTGACAAACCTCATTCTTTCGCTTACGGAAACAAGACCTTTCTGTTTCCAAGTAACTATTGTGCCACTCACTTGGCTAAATTGCTCATTCAGCGAATTTTCGTCCCTTACTCCCGCGGAAAGGGATGATAACGTAAGGGGCTTAGTTTCCTCTACGTTTGTAGCGCAGCGACAAACATAGGACACACGTTAATCATCTCCTGCTCTCGACAAGAGAATTCATTAATTCTAGAGCTGTTGCATACGTTTGAGCCACATTTTACAATTGTAGGTTAGACTCGATGGCCCACATAGTGGAATATAAAGGGAAAATATATTCTCATTCAGAAATCTTGATAAAAAAAATTGTATTTACTTTTGGATTGATTTACCTTCCAGCCTCACAATAGAGTGCAGTTACACTAATCAAAGGATCATCTCTGAAGAAAAAAAGCATGCTGAAATGCAAATGAGACGTCTCAGAAATTGGAAGAAAAAACCGTACCTATTACTGGAGAATGATAAATTACTCTAAGATAAAACTTCGTATTAGATATTAGTGAGTTTAATTTCACTATTCAAGGGCGGAAACAACCGGCACGCGACGCTTGTCCACACATAAACACATACATAAACTTAATTTATACTCGAGTTTTTTAGAATAGCTGACGAGCTAATATCTTGGAGCTGAAACTACATAAAAGAAAGTAATGTATAAATATATATAAGCAAAATAATGATGATAATGATAAAAAAATAATAATAAACACATAAAAGTAAAGAAAGAAAAATATTATTTACAATTCTCGATCTTAAGTTTAAGTATGTCAAGCAAAGAAAGAATCTACATGAAGATAACATCCTGTATTTTGGTTTTAAAGTCTGCAAAGAAACTGATACGAAAAAAGTCTAAGTACATATTCCTGTTAGATTTTGTTTTGTCTGTGGTGCAATAGTTACTCAGCTCATTTCTAGTCCTGAACATACCTTTCATCTGGATATTAAGTATAAGAATGACTTAAAGTAGGTTATTTGATTGGGTGATACAAGTGTAATCACTTACTTATGTGTAAGCATTATAGAATTTATTATTTGATTTGAATAAGATGCCCTATTACAAAACATCTCATGGGATTTTTAGAACTGAATAAAAAGAAACTGTCGTGAATGATACCATTGCACGATTGAATTTGGCTCGCTCATTAGTGATAAGTTTGTGAGTAAAACTGCGCGTAGATTGACGTCACTAGTAACACTTCAGAAACGTGTGAAAAGAAATATCTTACAGAATCTGAAACTTTTTTTTAATCGTGAACATAGTAGCATGATAAGCGATGTGATTATTGTTCGTCAACATCTAATGATTGCCATTGCGGATCTTTGCAATTGAAATTTCCCATTATTTGCCCTTTGAAAATCCTAAGTGACATATTTAGTTATTAGCCAATCTAAATTGACAGGGATAGTATCGAATTATCTAAACTTTAGTACTCCGGTTGCTTAAAAACCTTAAAAGCCTTCGCATAAAAGAAGATCAAACTACTCTGGATTCTCGAGTAACCTTTTTCAACATTTCTTTCTGTGAGAGTTTAAAAGAAATCTGCGAGAGGGCACCTGTTCCTCTCGTGTCCAGAGGTTTACTTGCGGTGAAGAATCTTCATCATTCCTTTTGGTTACCACTGATAACTTTGAACTCGTTCGAACCATTCGAAAACTATTGATTCGGTGAACTTTGTTTGTATTGAAAATTCCAATTATCATCTCCTGGAAAAGCCTGCATTTCCATAATTTAATGATATTCCGTCCCCAGAGTTTTTATCTAGAATGGATTTACGTTTACCACTATTTTGCTACGCAAGTATAATATCTAAAGGTTCACAACGTCAATAGTAAGAAAAAAAAATCGACAGCAAACTGAATTCAGATCGGCAGTGGCAGGATGTGGCAGACAAAGTAATAGGTCATCATAGTTGTTAATGATAGCTATAAAGGATAGGAGGTAGAGGGTGGCAGTCGATATTAGGATCACGCCCAGTCTTTCAGGTTTCCCCAGAGAGTTTGCTGGCAACAATGAACTCTCCTATTCTTTCAATATTTATAATTCCTTTGAGGAGAAATTTCTTGGAAATGTAATCAGCATGTTGTAGTATGTAATAGCTGTAGTGTTAACATATAAACTAGACATAATGTACGATGTATTTATCTTAAACTATTATTTCACAGTGCCTCCAAAAACTACTAATCCACCAGAGCCAAGGTCTCTGCTTGCCATTGGAGAAAACCACACTCTGACTTGTAAGGCATTTGGTGACCCTCTTCCGAAGATTACTTGGACAAAAGATGGTGTTCCTGTGGACAAGATTGATGTGACAGGTTACCACTTTC